AGGAATGATCTCTGACATACCTACATAAGAAAAATGTTTCTTTTTAATAGTACTGTATCTGTTGTTTACAAAAGGAGAAATAAATTACCCTGGTTAAGGAAGCCTGGAGGAGAGTCAAAGTGGTGTAATATCCCGCTGCTCCATTCACTAGAAAGCCTGATTTTGTCCCCAAGCTGCAAGAAAAGTGAACAATCCTTTGCAATCGAGCTGTGGAGCTCATGAGAGAGGGGGACATTTTCTAATAACATGGCTTTATGATACTGCTTCACTTTAAAATGCTGTTTTGGGAAAAGGCATTATGAGCCAAAGCGTGCAAAAACTGTACTGTGTTTCCTTCCTTGCTATAGAAAGCATAAACTGGATGTTAGCAGAACGGCAGTGCAGTATAATTGTGTATTTAAAAAAACCCACATCAGAATGGAGTTACGCATAGTCAAGCTGGGTATGATGTTGTTAAGTAGAACTGAGTAATCTTGCCATTCGTATTGCAGCTACCTTTTGACTTTGTGCATTTTGCTTTTCTGTTTCTTAGATGCACAGCCCACAGATGGAGAAAGGGAGGTATGGAATCAGATCAGTGCGGTTTTACAGGACTCAGAAAGTATGCTTGCAGACCTTCAGGCTTACAAAGGAGCTGGTCAAGAAATTAGAGATGTATGTTTGTTAATGACAGTTCTTCAGAAGCAAAATCAAGCAAAACTCAATGTGTTCCTTGCTCCTGTTATGTATCCAGGCACATTCTACGAAACTATATGAAAATCTTCATTAAAATTGTAGTTAGATAATGTGTTACAGATTAGGTGTAACATTGAATATAAAGCCCTAATGGCAAATCGTTAAATGATGGTTGTTGGAACTTCTTTTAGGTTTACTATTAGTAATTAGTAATTTTTTTTCACTTTGAGAAAGATCATACTCAGATGTCAGAAATACACTATAAAAAAGCTGAAGATAGTTGTTCTTCTGTGTAAGTGAAACAGTGAAACACAGTACATCATAACCTTACATCTACTTTGCAGGTATCTTATTCTATGAAACTGGTCCCAAAGTATAGTTCTGAACTATAACTTAAGATTTGGCTCAACTGACCAAACCTTTCCCTGCATCAGCTTTGCGGTTACTGTTAGTGTGAGCTGTTGGTTACTTAAGAACCTGAATACACTGGAGATTTCAAAAGCATCACAATCTTAAAAAAGAAGGCTATTTCTGTAACCAGTAATCATACAAAAGGTCTTCCCTGATGGTTTTGCTGTATTTTTTCCCCAAATAATGTGATAAAACATATTCCTGTGTATCAGTGGTGCATTTGAATGAGTAATTTTAAATAACTATGTTACAGGGGGAGAGGGAAGGTGAAGAAAATGATATTTTTTGGACTCAGTAATTTCCTATTCCTGTGCAATGTAATTTCTCGTAATTGTTCTGTGTTTTGCAGTACTTTCTAAAATGGTGAACTAGAAAACTTCCAAACCATCTTTAGTTTGTTATTCATAGATTACAGTTCTTTACAGTAATATTTTCATTTCAGGCAATACAAAACCCCAATGATATCCAGTTGCAAGAAAGAGCATGGAATTCAGTATGTCCCCTGGTTGTAAGGCTGAAGCGCTTTTATGAGTTTTCACTCAGATTAGGTGAGCCCTGTTTTGGTATCTCTGTTTATCAGGCTACTTTTACATATAAAGAAATAGGGAGCGTCCTTTTCCATGAACTTTTAAGGGGTTATTATTCTTTCTGTTTGATATCAGCAGACATTTAGCTGCAATTACATTTTTGGAGGCATATTTTTAGACTTCATTTAATTTCAGAATTATCATAGTTTGTTAGTTTGTCGCTTAAAATAAGTTGCATTATCTAAATAGAATACACGCAAAGAACGTGGTAAAACTGTGTAAAGTTTTTCTCTGGTGACTGCCACTCTTCTGCACTTCACTGGTCCTTATTGTACTAATGCGATCCTTTGGAGTTTTAGAAGGAGTGTAAACCAATAATATTTTGAGATTTTTTTTAAAAATAGGGGTAGCAGGGGGAGGAGGGTATAAATAAACACTCTCACAGGGTGAAAATCCAAAGTTGGGCATGATTTACGCTGGCTTTGTCATCCCTACAGACTGAAAAAATGATGCAGTTACTCCTTGAATTAGGACTTCGGAAGAGAACCAGTGTGCAAAAATTTATGTATAAAGTGGGAGAGCTCGCAGTGCAAGGGAATTCTTCTACACCATCCTGCTTACTAAGTCTTTCACTTTTTGAGTTATGTTAGTAATTATAGCCGCAGGAGCTGAATTACTTTGCTGTCAGTGCCTAAGAGTACGCTTTTAGTAACAGAGATGCCAGAATAATCTCTATACTAAGCTGATGGCTAATTGGGGAAGATGAAAGAGTTGAATATCTGAATGGAAGAAAAATGCACTGATAGGGAACCCAGATAAAGGGTGATAAAAAGAAAAAAGTGCTCAGTGGTACAAAATGGCGAGAAAATGGCAGAGAGCCTGAAGAGGCAGGTGTCTTTGACTAACGTTTCTCACCTTAGAAGAGTAAGAAAAAGCATTTCTAGGACGGCTGTGCATGTTCAGAGGGTTCCTTCTCTTTGTGTGAAATACATTTAGATACTTAAAACTTCATCATAACGTGGACTGAATAGAATTTGTGCTTCTGATTTTTATTCAGAGAAAGCCCTGCAGAGTTTATTGGAGTCCTTGACGTGCCCACCTTATACTCCAACTCAGCACCTGGAACGGGAACAGGCTCTAGCGAAAGAGTTTGCAGAAATCTTACATTTTACTCTTCGTTTTGATGAACTTAAGGTTAATAAAATCTTTCTAATGCATGCTGATTTTTTCCGTGTATTGTGAACCAAAACTGATTATTTTCTATTTGTCTTTCTCTAAGATGAGAAACCCAGCAATTCAGAATGACTTCAGTTATTATAGGCGGACAATAAGTCGCAACAGAATAAACAACATGCATGTAAGTAAATAAAATCTGATCTGTTGTTCGCACTGAGGTATTTATCAGTGTGCATTTATACCCGTTGTGGTAATGTTTTTCATTTGATTCACCTAGCTGCCATGTTTTCTCCTTCCCACTGAGAGTTAATCAGTGGTGCGGATGAAGTGATTAGAGTGGAACTATTTGTGCAACAATCTGCTTGCCCACATGAGCACGTGCTGTATCTTTTTCTTGCTGCTGGCAAGATTTTCAAGAGTTCTACTGACTATTTTTTTCTCATGTTTTCACCAGCTAGACATCGAGAATGAAGTAAACAATGAAATGGCCAATAGGATGTCCCTATTTTATGCAGAAGCCACACCAATGCTGAAAACACTCAGTAATGCAACTACACATTTTGTATCAGAAGTAGGTAATGGGGGAGAAAGGGTCTAATACAGACTTTCTTGATTTTAATTTTACAATCTGGTTTACTGAACAATGGCTGTTTTTAACCCTTCTAGAACAAAACGTTACCAATTGAAAATACAACGGACTGTCTAAGTACTATGGCTAGTGTATGTAAAGTCATGTTGGAAACACCGTAAGTTTTACCTTGAATTTTGTTTTTCTTGTATGAGTGAATTTGTATTGTCTTTTAAGTAGCCACCTGGGATAAACAAATTTGTTTACAAATTAATTCCTGTATGTTTGCCTTAAGCTGTTGTCACATTTGCATACAAAGCATGACCTAGTGTTAGAAAGCCTTGCCTCCTGTTTTAACCACCTTATGATATTATTCATGAATCAGAATTGAGTTTTGTTAAGGAGAGCTTATGTGGTCAGCCTGGATTTCAACAAAAGGTTAAAATACATGCGTAATCTTATGCACTCATAAGCTTCTGTGTCTTGTCTAACCAGGGCCATAGGCCAACTACTGTCTCTTGATTGCCCATGTTGCTCAGTTATTAGCACACTTAGGGGCAAGATTTTGGCAAGATTTTGGCTTTTCCAAGTAGTGCTTTCACAAGTGATACACAAGGATTATTCTGAGGAACATTTGAGTAGATCCTTGTGGATGTAGCCATCTTACTCTGGATATGAGAAAATTCAGCTGTATGGAAACTGTACAGTTGTTTTCTTAACTGCTAGCATAGGTATAGCCAGTGGGGTTACTATTGTTTAGCTTTGCATTTAGTCAAGTATTTTTGAGGTTAGATATCTCTTTAAGTGTAAAACACATACAAGATAGAGTCAAGGTAGTCTTCCCGTCTTTGAATTGCCTGTTCATGGTGCCGTGGAAAGGGTAGAATTCCTGATGTTATTGTGATTGTTTATGAAAATTCTGGAAAAGTGTATGTAGGTGGTGGGACTCATCTCACAGTCCCGGGGCATCACAGAAGTAGTCACTGAAAAGCAACCTTATGTGTCAGCTCATTTTTTTGGCAAAAGTAGAGAAACAGAAAGTTGTGGGTCATCTACCAGAAGATTATCTGATATTTAGTTCTAATTGTGGGATAATCAGGCATTTTCACCTCAAAATGTCTGTAACCTTTAAATCTGTTCATGTTATGATGCTGTGTTAATTAAAAAGAGTGAAAGTTATTGTAAACTGAGAGGTAGTATAGTACAGATTTTAGTATTTTTAATGATATGTTTAAGTGAAAAAATCAAGTTTTATACTGAAAACCAATGAATGACAGTAGACAAATCTATGTGTTACTTACTCAATATTTGTTAGAAAAATTGTGATAGTTTACGTTTTTCAGGACTTCTGGTTTTTTTCTACTGTAGTTCATTTTTCATTTCCTGATGATGGTTTCAGGGGTTAGAGGTGATAGGGGCTGTCCTAAATGTGCCATCCATATTCTTATTTTGGAAGTAAAAAGTCAAAGAAAAACTCTTTGGAATTAGCTCAGTCCAGTCCTATCTAGTGGGCTTCCATATTTTAGATGCTCAGTGAATCTGGGTTGTTGAAGTTGCCCATGGACTTAGGGGAGAGAGAGAGAGAGAGACATGACTATGGTCCGCCTAGGTGAAGCCCTAAATTTACTAGCTGCTGAAATTAGATATTTAAACATTAACTGTTTCAAAGTAGGAATTTAAGCAAAAAGAGTAGCTTTCCTTTGACTTTCTGATATGTCGTATTTCTATGATTAAGCAGAACTATGAACAGTCTCCATCATTTTTCATGAACTGTGGAAGTCTGCTGTGAACCCATCATCTTAGAATTTTGCTGAAGTGAAGATCTGAACTGTGAAGTTGTGTTAGAAGGAGTTTACTTATCTGTATTCGCTTTCGAACCTTCTAAATTGACAAGGACTTAGCAATTCAAAGATCTTTAAAATCTTGCTAAGATTCATCTTCAACCTTCAAATACAACATTCAGATTCTATGTGCTCGTAGTCTAGTTTGCAAAATTGTCCAGTAAAAAGTCAAGACTGTTTGTTTCTTTTGTTTTGTTTTCCAGAGAGTACAGGAGTAGATTCACCAGTGAAGAGACCCTTATGTTCTGCATGCGAGTAATGGTGGGAGTTATTATTCTGTACGATCACGTTCATCCTGTGGGAGCTTTCTCAAAGACATCAAAGATTGATGTAAGAGTGACTTTTCTTTAATACTCTGTAGGTTTGAGGGTAGTAGTCTGCAGCTTTTTTTTCAGCCCAAGCTTATGACTTTGTATAAATCATTTTAATTACTTTTGAATAGCAAAATTGAGACTTTATCTTTACCTGCATACTTTAATATATCAGCTTGTTTGAAATTAAAATAAGGATCAGTCTTTTTTCCGTTGTATTTTCTTCCAGACACAGATACTCATTTGTCTTTTTAGCTCTGCCTTCCTGCCAACTGTGTGGTTACACTAAATAATTTTTTATTACAGCTACCCTGGAATAAGTTCTGTGGTCATAATTTTTTATTAATCATGTAATTTATTTATGCTGAAATGCTCATCTTTGGCAGTACTCCTGTTGTAAATAAGCAGATATTTGACATTGTCTCTGCTTTGTCTGAGATCTGAAGTAGCAGAACTGAGATGTTATTGTTGTAGTGTTGATAATGAGCCTTCAGTTTTAACTTTGGCATGACCAGTCACAGGGAAATCAGCCTTATTTTTTCATCTGAGATACTGCAAGCACACACCAAAAAGTACTCTTATTTTTGCTACACGTTTTTACAAACCTAAATCTCATGTGCCATGTCTTTCAGCAGAAATAAGCTGTAATTCTTGAAAAAGACGCTAAGTCTTTCCCTTTACAAAAGAGCCTACTTCAAAATAAAATAAAACATATATATATATATATAATTGTACTCCATGACAGTTGAGTCTTCCTTAGCATTTTTCATCTACAGGTATCAGTATTTTACCACATCTCCTCTTTGACTCTGTTTTACAGGGGGAAAGATATGTCACAAAGAGGTGAATTGATTTGCTCAAGGTCATGCAGCAGATAGAGCCTGAGAATTGAATGCAGACTTCCTGACTTCTAACTCAGTCTCTTGTCTACAGAGACAACACAAGTAAAATTTTGATAGGACCAAATTATACAATGCGTGTACTTTGTTTCTCACATTTATCCTAAAGCCCTGCAATCTTAAAGGATAGTGAGCTAGATGTAAATGGCAGGCAGGAGATGCATGACTCAGTTTTTAAAAATGAGTACGTGGTGCCAAATCGTAATTCACCTGATTAGTTTAGTGATTCTTTTCTAATAAAAAAATCTTACAATATTTCAGATGATTTTATTTTACTGTGAAAAACAATTCTTTTCTCCAAACTAGCCCCTTCTTGGTAGCCATGTCAAAAGAATTTCAAGGAGAGTGGAACAAATTACCCTTTCCTCGCTCTTTCAAGACTGGAGACTGTATTTCAAGCTGTTAATTACAGACTCCTAGCTTAGACCTCCTAACAGCTTCTCTTTTTTGAATGTGTATGGGATTCTGATTCTAACAAAACTGGAAAAGAATGGTTTGAATTTTTATCCCCTTTGAGTTTGTCTGGTCTGATCTGACCAGATCTGATCTGATGGGGCGTGTAAACCTGTACTGAGTGATGTGAAATACAGTCTTGAGTTTCTCTAGTTCAGGAAAAATAACTGTGTCACTTCAAAACATGTGCTGCCACCCTGAGAATTCATCTGATCTGGTATTTGCAAAGCTAGTTTTATCTTCCAGGTAGAAAGGAGCCAACTGAGCAGTGATCAGTGACTGTTAGGCTGGTCATTGTGCAGGAGGCTCAGTTACATTTTCTGAATCATTTTTATTGGCAAATAACATGGACCAACCCTGACTTCAGTTAAGTGTTTCATCATCCACTTCCGTAATAAGGCAGAATTGCTCTTTAGCTGCAAAGAAAATACTGGCACATAGATTTAGCCCTGTAATGTGACTTGGAAAATTAGAAGGTTCAAATCTTGACTCTGCCATGTCTTTATCTATCATTTTAAATGAGGTGGAATTCATCTAGACTAATTTCTGGATAGCTTTTAGATGCCTTCATAGCAATGGGAAGAAATAGGTACTTTGGGAGCACAATTAATTACATATTAAAGTATATTCTGAACAGGTTAGAGAAATTTCCTATTTCTCTCTATTGACTAGATAAAGAGTCTGTTTAGAGGGTCAAATGAGTTCTACCTCTGCTTTCTCTGCTTAATTTCCCCTTTTGTAGATTTGGACAGAGTTTCAGCCTGTTTACAGTTTCCATGAAGATGTTTGTTCAGTGTGGTGTTTAAAATCAACATCATGGACTCCTTATCTCAGATTAAATTTCTAACTGCTAGTGATAAAACAAATCATAAGTTATCACAAGTTAGGTTTACAACTAAAACTGAATACTGAAAATTACCTCCTTGTGTGCAAGCATAAAAATAAAAGTCAAAATTGAAACATCTCTTCTGATAGTTGCTAACAGCAGCAACATGGAACTCTCTTCTAAAATCTCTTTTTAGCTCATATCAGCTGCTAATTTTTATTTTTTTTAAGTTGGAATTGGAGAAATCACGTGCAATTTAAAATATAAACACTTGATATGTAATTTACTATCTACAAATGCTTATTAAAGTAGATGTTGTTTTCTCAAAAGTTAGGTTTTAAACTTAAATTTAATAAGTTATAATGTGTCATATAAAGCAGCATTAACACCCAGTAGGGGAAAAAACCCCTGCCTTTCTTGGTGAAATTTTTCCTTGTTTTCAGCCAGTGCAATTCATATATTATTGTTCAATAGTGGCATGCTTCTGTTCCCAGATGAAGGGATGCATAAAAGTTTTAAAGGAACAACCACCTGACACTGTGGAAGGACTTCTGAATGCTCTCAGGTATGTGTGGAATAATTGTTTGATTCAGCCTTAACAAATTCCTCTTATTTTTCTCCCAATCTCTTTATATTTAAGGTTTTTCACCTTAGAAACTTGATTTATTAAGGAAATTCTCCTTTCAGGTTTGCCTTTATCACCTGGGGTTTTCTTAAGTAATATTAATTTCTTTCAATTCCACTTCACTTAGATAAGCAATGACTATTAATATTGGAAGTCATAATGTCCTTCTTCAGAAATACTTAAGGTTCATTTTATCACCTAAAACTTAGCCATCTAGAATGTAAACAATATACCAAAGGTAAACAATATATCTAACCTAAGATTTGTTACATAAAATACCCCAGCAACTAGAACATTTTGGAAGCGTAGAGTTTCTATTTCTCAAACCCTTGATACTTCTCTCTTTCCTTGTGATTTAATAAGACTTCATTTTTCTTTTTGAATTTTGCTAAATGATACAACTTCAAGAAAACAGCAGTCTAAATCCCAACCCTGTAGCTAAGTGTTTAAGGTGCTGTCTTGGGAAGCAAGACACGATAGTCTGACACTTCTCTGAAGCTGAGAAGGGAGTCTTAGTACCAAGTTTTTCAGAGCTGTACTGAATTCTGTAGCTGTTGAATGCTTGGACAGAGTGAGAACTGCAGCCATAACCACCTCCCTATTTGCTTATCATGTCTTTTGAATTAAAATTTATGTGGAGGTAAATCCTACAGGTAGCAGGTATGTTTTGAGTTTATGTGATGATTGATCGCCCTGTAAACATAAACACTGGAGAATGTTTGGGCTTAAATGGAAAGAAACACATTAAAACTCTTCAGTCCTCCCAGGATATTCCCAAAAGTGTAACTCAGCACCAAACAAAGCCTGCTGGTTCAGGATATTCCCAAAAGTGTAACTCAGCACCAAAGAAAGTCTGCTGGTTACAAAATAAAAAAAAAAAAAAAAAATAGAAGACAGTCTATGTGATGTTATACTGTAAGATGTAAAGGTACAGGACATTTAAGAAAGCTGCTTAAAATTAGGCTTATAGATTATACCAAAACTCAATCTAGATTCCTAAATCCCTTTAGTATTTACCCTATTTCTTACGTCTTTCCATATTTTTTACTTCTTTTGAGGCTTTTAACTGGAAGAAAAAGAGATAATTTCGACCCAAAATGATGACAATGTCATAGACAGATGCCAAACAGTATTTAGCCAGGATTTAGCCACAATTCTGCACCTATTAACAGGGAATAATTTATTGCAAGGGGTATTTAGAAGATAAAGAGCACCAGACATTTAGCAGTTAAATTCCAGTGATAGGTGTCTAGAGAAACATCTAAGTTCCTCCTGCGTGTAATTCAACTGCACTGACTTCAAAAACAGCCACTGAAGTTTTCAGACTTTTTTATCCCTGTTCATTTTATAAAATATTGTTTTAACTTGTCATTTCTAGGTTCACTACAAAACACCTGAATGATGAATCTACTTCAAAACAAATTCGAGCTATGCTGCAGTAGTATCCCGAGACAAGCAGATGTTTGTATTGATCACAGAAGATGTTTACATAATTTAATACAGTTTGATGTTAATACTTGTGTGTATTTACATAACCATTTTCTTCACATTGCTAAAATATATGAATCTGTTCATAACCTGACTGACTTTATATAGTGCAGCCTTAGTTTTTATGCTAGCCTTTATCTTTCGACTTTCAAAATACTTTTTTACTTAGATACTTCAGCTACGACAGTTTATCTGCGCATTTTAATCCTTAAACACCTCCTCGATCAGAGATGTAAGTAATAGTGAAGACAAAATGGAAATCAAATAAACTGAAATGTCAAAGATTCAATGGAAAAAGGAACTTTAAAGGAGAAAGTTAATATAAGATAAAGTAAAATTCGTTGGATATATTTTAAGAATATGTGCACAGTTTTTCAGTCAGTTTTAGGATCTCATCAAACTCATATGAATAGGAGAATGCCTGAATGTTCATCACTCTCATAAAATACATTGTCTTTTCTGTAATAAGTGGAGATCCACCTGATTTTAAGGATTATGTGCTGGCTGACATCCAAAAACGTATTGCAAAGAGGTCATTTTACCTCTTTTACTAAGTATAACCTCTACCTTTCAACTATTGAGGAAATTAATATCCTTTTTCAGATTCAATATAAATAAACAAAAAATGTGTTTTAAGACCGTTGCTAGTTTTATTAGATTTAGAGAGGAAAGAGAAAATATGAATGCCTTGGCTTAACTAGAAAGGGTTTGTCAGTGTGAATATATCACGATGAACATTATCTCTCAGACAGCTCTACCCAGTAAGTAATTCTTTTACTGATATAAATCAGGATAAAGCAGAACACCCTTCTGTAGCAGCAAACTTCCCTAGTGTCAAATTGGCCTCATCAGACTAGGGATTATATAAATAAGTTTTAAGTACTGAGCTGTTCTTAGGTACTTCATCAAGTTCCTTGATAGTATTATTCACTAGATGATTCAGAGTCAACACAGAAATATATATCAGCTGACTGTTCTTCATTGGTTTTTGAGATGTGATTGATGCTTCAAGGAGTTGAGTTCCTTGCTGATTTGTTTGTTCTTACTTCCTAGTAATTTTTTCCAGTAAATGGAATAGAAATACTTTGCCAAAAGCAGCAAAGTGCTCATGCTCTGTTAAGTGTGTCTTCTGGGTGGTCTGCAGTTGCTGTACATATTCTTGCAGAGGTCACGTTCTGAAAATGTGTTTGATTTTGTGTTCTTTGCTTGCATGTGTGTGTGAAAACTCCAGTGCTTGTGCACAGATTCTAACTGATATTTGCTTATTCCTGTGTACGTAAATCAGGGTTTGTGTGCTCTCACTGGAATTTTCATGCATATCACTTCTAAAAACATTACCTTAATAAGACTTTGAAGATGCATTTGGTCTGCTGAAACTCGGCTGCGCTGTGACAAATTCAGTTGTTGAACTCGCTCTTAAACAGTATTAATATCATGAGTTCTTTGGAGTAGGAATTGCCTTAGAGTTTATTTCTGAGCGGAACAACCACTATGAGGTTTCTCAAGCCTCATCAGAACCCATAGGTGCCAACGTTATGCGTGTCGTGATACTGGACAGCACCGCAACTCCAGCGTTCGTGTCACACACCTGCAGTTGTAGCAGCAGATCTCTATGTTGTCAGGATCAGAATTAGAAATCATGCTAGTTTTTTTCGTTTTCTGGAAGCAGTGATCACACTGCTTTTTCACAGTAGTAAATCCACTGTTTACAAACTCCACTTTGCGGGGGGGAGGCATTTATAAATGTATATTAGGGGAAATCCTGCTTTGTTCATAGTCACTTCCAGTTAGGTAAATCTAGGTGGATGACAGGTCATTCTTTTGAGCTTTGGTAACTGAAGTTAATACATGCTTTACCTGCGAATATTTGTCAAACAATGAAGTCTTATCTTTAAGTAGCCCAGAGGAAAGTTATTTGTCACTTGTATAATAAAAATGTAAACCTTAAAGCATTCTGCGAGTTGTCATGTGCTGTTTGCTGAAGTCACTGAATTTCTTTGCCAGCTATGATGTTTTTGTACAGAAGTTTGTTTGAAATAATAAAAAGTTTGGTACAGTAAGCTTTGGGACTGTCTGTGTTTAGCGACAACATAAACAGGTTGAGAAGTATCTCAAAGGTTTGGATCTGAGATATAGTAGGCTCACGTTTATGTACCCAGTTTATAGTTTATTTAAAAAGCATTTAAAACGTTTCACTTGTATGCCACACTAATATGACCTAACGTCACTTGAAGCAATTCTGGGGTTTTTCTGACAATTCTTGGCACTTGCCTGTCATCTTGACCAGGGGAAACTGTTGGTACTGCTTTACAGAGTAGAGAGCATGAATCCCTTCTATGGCTTTTGTGTCTTCGCATCAGTCATCCCAGGCTATGGTGCCCAACTCAGGTTGCATTTATAATCAAGAAGGTCACCAGAGAATGATTCATTTAATCTTAAGAGAAGTGCAAATAAATTGCTTTAGCAAAAAGATCTGTATAGACTAATGGTCAAGGTTATTGATCTCTATTTTATCAGTGTTTCTTCTTATTTTGGCTCATCATTATGTAGGAATACATGTTTGTAGTATGATAAATATTTAAGCCTCCTAATGACAGCATTTCAGAATGTGCATAAATGAGTGTGACTAGTTTGGGTCAGAACAGCCCTAAAAAAATTTGCTTGTTTTGTGGTGGAGGAAAATATTATTTTAGGGTGGTATGAATTTGACAGACTGGAATTTGCTGCTGCAAATGAATGGGTTTGAAACATCATTTATGACTTCTAAGCTTGCTGCTGCTACTAAGTGGCTGTCATGAAGGACGGTTACTAAGATTGTATTTACTGGTATGTGATAGACCACATCACTCAGATAAATGATCTAATGTTTTCCTTGTCTACTGAAATTTACAAAGCAACAAAAAGTCTTCTCTGTGTTCCTTTCTGTGTTGTAATTCAGCTAAATTTAAATTGGAAGTAAGATGGAAGTAATATATAAGATGACTTGTGTTTTTACTTTTACTCTGAATTAAACAAAGTAGGGCATAAATTCTTCATATGAAATGATCTCTCTTCCCCCTCCCCACTTACTTCTCAAGAAGTTTAATGGAATCAATGTATTCATACAAAGATACAGTGCTTGTTAGGTGGATGCACATTTGGGAAAATCCTGCATCATTTTTTCATGCCACATCTGGTTTTGGCCAAAACCAATACAGATTCTTGTCTGTCCAGTTCTCAGTCTGTCAAGATCCCTCTGAATGGCAGCACAACCTGGTGTATCAACAACAACTCCCAGTTTTGTATCATCTGTGGAATTCCTGTGGGTGCATTCTGTCCCACCCTCCAGTCATTAATGAAGAATTTAAACAGTATTGGTCCCAGTATCAACCACTGGGGTACACTGCTAGTGACGCCTCTAGATCAGTTTTATGCTGCCAGACACAACTCCTTTGAGCCTGGCAGTTCAGCCAGTTCTCAATATACCTTGCTGTCTGTTTATCTCACCCGTATTTCATCAGTTCATCTACGAGCATGTTATGGGGGGCCATGTCAAAAGCCTTGCTAAAGTCAAGATAAACAAGCCTTCAGTAGCACTGGCCAGCTCTCTCAGCATTTGTGGTGCATCCCATTAGGTCCCATAGACTCATGTATGTCCTGTTTGTTTAAATGTTCTCTAACCTGATCCTTCTCCACCAAGGGTTAAGTATTCCTTGCTCCAGACTTTCTTTCTGTTCTCAGGGGCCTGGGATTCCTGAAGGCAAATCCTACATTTAAGGACTGAGACAAAGAAGGCACTGGGCTCCTTGACCTTTTCTGCGTTCTTTGTCACCAGGTCCCATACCCCGTTTAGCAGCAGGCACACATCCTCCATAGCTTTCCTGTTGCTGCTGATATACCTGTAGGAGCCCTTTCTGTTGGCCTTTGCATCTTTCACCAGATTCAACTTCAGAAAGGCTTTGGCTTTCCTAGCCCCATCCAGGCATGCTCAGGCAGTGTCTTTATATTCTTCCTGGGTCTCTTGTCCCTGCTTCCACTTTCTGCATGCTGCCTCATTATGTTTGGGTTTAGTCAGGAGCTGTATGTTCATCCATGCATGCCTCCTGCCATAGAATCATTAAGGTTGGAAAAGACCTCCAAGATCATCAAGTCCAACCATCAACCCAACACCACCAAGTCTACTAAACCATGTCCCTCCATCTTTGCTTGGTTTTGTGCTTATCAGGAAGGACCGTTCTTGAGCTTGGAGGAGGTGATCCTTGAAAACTAAACCAGCTCTCCTGGGCTCCTCTCCAGGACTGTGTCCCATGCAATTCTTTCAACGAGGTCCCTGAACAAGCCAAATTAAAATTCCCAATTACATCTTCCCTGTAAATCATCTTGTGGCTGTATAGCCAGTAATATGCTTTTAAAGTTGTGTGTTTTAGGATTATTAGAAGGTTTGTTAATAGTTGCAAATAGTTGGAAGAGGTTTGTTTGTGGTTTTTTTTTCTTTAAAAGGTAGGACATGAATTACTGTTCTCTTGTCTCAGATGAATTCTCTAATGCAAAGTTACAGAATCTATGAATTCACACAGTGAAGCAGATTAGATAATGCAACGGAAGCCAGTGAGCTGAAACAGTGGCATTAATTTGATTCACCAGTAAGAGAATAAAACCCAGTTTGGTTCAAAAGCTGATATAACAGATCTAGTATTTTAACTCTGTAGTTTGTAATGCTTCGTGCTACACACTAGTAAAGGTGAATTCCTGACTGCCACATAATCCAAATTCTGCAAACACAGAATTCTCTTTCACACCAATTTCACACAAATGTAACTCAGTTGATTTCAGTAGAGCTGTTTCTGATTGACATGGGTGTAAATGATACCCTTTGTCTTTTCTCAGCCATGGCCTTTGACCTAAGTGGCTTTTTACTGAGCAAATTGAGTCTTCTGCTAGTGCAGATCAATGACGTAACATGATAATCTTGCAGAGATCTCTTGCACTAGTCTGCTTTGAAATGAAAACTAAAATGAACAATGCAATACATGTCCTAGAAAATCAATA